TTCTTTCTTTCTTTCCTTCAAACTTCTTTCTTTTTCTTTTCCGTGCAAATCCGTGCGAATTCGAAAACAATAATTTTTGTAGTATGCAATCTGAATGCATAAACTAAAATCTGGCACAATACATTCCCATTTAGAGTATCAAACCTAACCACTGCCAAAACACACCATGCCTTTGTAACTACCCAATACCACAACACATTCCCTAACCACTACGTCATACCTTCAGAACTTACCCAAGTATTACAACATCCTGATTGAGTGTCAAATCATGTCATGCTTTATGATATGGAGGTCAAAAGTGGTGATATTCTTTTCATCTACCCAATCTATAATCTATTCAGACCAGCATTCACAATGTTTGCATTTAGGTGAGCACGCAATGGAATGTCATTGGAACGAGTTACAAATCTTCAAATTGACGGATGCACGTAGGCCTACCCCATATTTGGACACAATGAGTGCACAAATAGAAAGGAAGACAAATACAAATCAAGTATAATATCTTGACTACTATATGCGAACGCATTTCTTGTGCCTCTGAAACTGTTTACAGAGCAATGAACTTGAAAGCAAGTGTAGGCGATTTGCTAATGCAAAGAACTGTGTGATGGTGTGATGTACAGTATATTAGATCTCTGCGCTCTTTGATATCTTTTTACTTACATTACACTAACAAAAGCTTTTCGATGCATATAAGGAACACATGTATTCCAAACAAGGTGTATACTCAATTAACACTGTCTGATGTCTGTATGCAAGGTTGATTTGTAGATTTACCTTTATCCCTCATTATCACCACTGTTTCTTTCGTCTACCGACTCATCCAACAGTTTGCCTTTCTTTTTTTTCAGAGAAAAGAGAAGAAAGACAGAGAGACTGAGAGAGTGTGTGCGTGTTTGTGTGTGCGTGTTGTGTGTGTCTGTGTGTGTGTGTGTGTGTGTGTGTGTGTGTGTGAGAGAGAGAGAGAGAGAGAGAGAGAGAAAGCTTCCGCTTGGATAAGGCGGGTTGGATTCCTCAAAATGATATTTATAATAGATTCCCCAGAAAATTCATGACGGGTATTATAAAATATATATGTTATTCGTTTTTTTTTATAATATTGAATTACTTTTTATACTGTGGATCAACAACCTTACAGCGAGGCAGGATCCTGGTAATAATCGGATTATATTTCTTACTCTGGCACTTGACATTGTATTACTCTACTTTATAGGTTAGAAGATAATTACTATTTCCCCACCCCTCACCCACTCACTCTCTCTCTCGCTCTCTCTCTCTCTCTCTCTGTCTTCTATGACTACCTTTTCTACCATCTTTTCTCTCTCCCTCCTTTTCTCCGCGCCTCTCTCTGACTCTGTCAAATACCCAGTCTGTTGGTCTGTCGGTTTTACCTTGCAATTTTCTTCCTCTCATTTATAACATAAATACGCATCAAAAGACAAATATTGAAGAAACTATTAACTAATTTTTATTTTAACTCACCAAACTATTGAGGAAATAAAGACATAAACACTTAAGTATCTAACATACAAGGATAACATACCGAGTGAAAAAAATGACAGCAATACATAACAAGGCCCATGTATTTTATTTCTTTTAATTTCGCCTTAAAAACATGGAGATTACTCCTTAGATATTAAATTGGGCGATCGCAAATATTACAGAAAACGACACTATTTTGATTATTGACATGTATAACTGAATAAACAAGTTTCTTGTTCTCAAGTATTTGAAAGTTGTATTTACAGGCACAATGTAATTCTCTTTCAAAGCCCACTTAAAATCGCAAATAAATTTCTTTGACAAGCAGAACATTCAAAGCAGAAATAAAATGATTATATAAGACCACATTTGTGTAATGTTAAGATGAAATACCATAATATATGTAAGGTAATATAAATGGGTGAAATTAATTTACTATCTGATTCCAGTAAACGTTCCTAAAATCGTCAAAATATTTTCGTAAATAAATTAACTTTTTTCCATCTTATCGACTGAGTCATAATGCTACAATTTCACAACTAGTTTCACGCATCAAGCGATATTCGTGGAGCCTGTCTCGGTCTGAAGAAGTTTTGGGCTTCGATCTGCTCACTCCACCTTGAAATTTCTAGCAAAAATTGTTATAATCACTATTTTTATTTGTTTTGAAACTGTGGAGATGTTGGGCTTAGAGACCATTAATTGCCTGTAAAAAACCATCACAACTATTATTGGATAATCATATTGACGTAATTTCAATATAGCCCTGTACATCACTTTTAGAAATGCTTGAGCATTACAATGACGTATTGTGTTATCTGAACCTGACTTTTATTCCATATACCGGACAGTATTGATATTGCCATTGAGTTGATTTGTGAAAGTCTTTGCTATCGTATTTTGTATGAATATCAATCAAAGAGAAGCCTTGGAAAACAAATCTCATGAAACTATAAAGTGAGTCCATTAAAGATAAAGGGTATTAAATGACTTTAGATAATTAAGGATATAGGAATGAATGTATATAAAGCACAGTACACGATCATAGCTATATTTTTCCGGAATATACATATATACATATACAGTTATCACAAAGCCGATAGAAGTCCCGAACAATAAAAGCAATCTTTAAACATCAACATTTCAACTCAAATATTATCGAATTGTACTCTAGAAAGCTTTCGTCTGTATGTAGGTGTACACGACAGTCACTGGCCAAACAAGACGATTATAAACAGATGTTGCAGGACGCCATGATTCAACATTAGTTTTACCTTCCTTTATTATAATACAACATTACACAATTAACACGATCACAAAGACTTTCGAAAAAAGTTAATCTCAATAGCCTGATTTGCATGGTCCATGTCATTTTGAACTGTACGGACATTACAATTATGTCTTCCGGGTGCCAGGTAAAAATGTCAGAGGAAAAAATGTCAGAGGAAAAAATGTCAGAGGAAAAAATGTCAGAGGTAAAAATGTCAGAGGAAAAAATGTCAGAGGTAAAAATGTCAGAGGAAAAAATGTCAGAGGAAAAAATGTCAAAGGTAAAAATGTCAGAGGAAAAAATGTCAGAGGTAAAAATGTCAGAGGTAAAAATGTCAGAGGTAAAAATGTCAGAGATAAAATGTTAGAGGTACAAGCAAAAAAAATGAGTGCCGTCATAATATCTCAGCACTTTTATCACACAGAATGTCGAGACGTACAGCTACTGCATGGGCTGGTCTGGTTCCATGACACATGCTCCGCCGACGATTGCTCCGCCGACATTTACTCCGCAAAACGCGACAATTGCTCCGCGACATTTGCTCCGCGACATTTGCTCCGACGTCAAATGCTCCGCCGACAGGTGCTCCGCCGACAGTTGCTCCGCCGACAGTTGCTCCGCCGACAATTGCTCCGCCGACAGATGCTCCGCCGACAATTGCTCCTCCGACAATTGCTCCGCCGACAATTGCTCCGCCGTCAATTGCTCCGCAAAACGCGACAATTGCTCCGCCGACATTTGCTCCGCCGACATTTGCTCCGCCTGAAGCGACACTTGCTCCGCCGACATTTGCTCCGCCGACATTTGCTCCGCCGACATTTGCTCCGCCGTCAATTACTCCGCCGACAATTACTCCGCCTGAAGCGACAATTGCTCCGGTGACATATGCTCCGCCGACAATTGCTCCGACGACATTTGCTCCGCCGACAATTGCTCCGCCGACAATTGCTCCGTCGACAATTGCTCCGCCGACAATTGCTCCGCGACATTTGCTCCGACGTCAAATGCTCCGCCGACAGGTGCTCCGCCGACAGTTGCTCCGCCGACAGTTGCTCCGCCGACAATTGTTCCGACGACATTTGCTCCGCCCAAAAAGTGTCCCATTAAATACAAATGCTACTAGTACTACGACAAATGCTTCGCCGACAATATTTTTTTTTCACGGGTTGTTTTTGTTTCTTTCTTTTTTTCTTCATTTTTTGAATGCATTTCATGACATTATGTAAATGAAATGAAATGAATGAATGTTGATAATGTGGGAGGAAAAAGCAGTTGCCTAAAAGTCATTTCGAATATACTGAAATAACTTTCCATCTATCACTGTACGTCCCACATAATGTACACTAAACACTCATTACATGTCATGGGAAGTTTTTTTTTTTTTTTAAAGTAGAGCAGGAAGCCACATTCCCCAATACGCGCATACCTCCTAGTTAATTTCAAACAGCTCATCAATATGTAAGACCTGAAATTACCTCAATGAAAGAAGACTAATAACATGAGAGGAAAGAAAAGAGCAAAAAAGACAACCGTTTTTTGCTATTCCCCATAATGTTTGATTTAAAAAAATAAAAAATAAAATTATAGCTCCTTACGCAAGTTCTCCGGCGAAAGATAATTACTCCGCTCAAAATCTGTTTCATGTATTACACATTAGCTGATCCAAAGCTCAAGGCTATCTCTCTCTCTCTGTAAGGATCAAGATATAAGAAGCCAAATTTAGTTTTTGTTTTGAGGATACCGTAGATTGACTGGAATTGTTGTACAAACGTAGCTAGGCTTGTCACATGGAAACTACAGATATGATATGATGTGGGCACGGATTCAAGGAAGGAAAACTTTGTTTTACCTACTAAACTACTACTATTATTGCTACTTTGTACATTCCGGTGTATGGAAATGATTGGAGTTCAGTTGAGTGTTAATAAACAAAGAACCATAAAATTACCACATTGTCTCAAGGATCATATGTAGATATCTCTACATTAGTAAAACAAAGTCGATTCTTCAACGGATCATGTGGATGAAGGAATTCGACACGGCAAAGCCCCCGGGCGTGATACTCGCGAACACTGCACAAGTACTAAAGTCTCTGACGTGACGTGACACAGTGAGTAATTCAATGAAATGAAACTCAGAAGTGAAATCGGCTGAATGAAATGAAACTTTGAAGTGAAATCGGCTAGACTCTATAGCTCTACACGTTACTGCTGATTTGAAAGGAATGTTTATCAAGTAAATTGCAATTATGCTGGATGGGAATACTACTCCCAAATCCCCAGGTGGGAAAGATAAGGAACTGAGCAATGCCAATGGCAATGATATTGATCATGTCGTGAAAGATAAGGAACTGAGCAATGCCAGTGGCATTGGTATTGATCATGTTGATGATAAGGAGAGTGGTACAACAAGGAGCTTTGCAAGAGAAAGAGATCTAGAGAATGGGAAAGAAGATCAAGATGACTCAGAATCCACATTGTCATTATGTGGATCATCGGCCTCTTCTGCCAGTACTGCAAAGAGGAGAGAAAGAGAGAGAAAGAAGGAAAGACAACTTAAAGCAAAGTTGATAGCCTTACATCAAACGAGTGAACTTGAGAAGAAACTGAGAACACTTAAAAAACAACATGAAATGGAACAAGCCGAACAAGAAATACGAATTGCAAAAGAAAAGGCTGAGAATTTGAGAAAGAGTCAGCTTTTGAAGGATGAAGAAGCGGAGATTGAAAGACAAAAGACTGCTATTCTCTTCAAGCAGAATTGAAGCTTCTACAACAAGATTCAGAGGAAGAGCTACAGAAATGGAAAGTGGAAGGTGATTCTTTCCGTGATCGTGGACAAGAACGAGATCAAGTTAGAGGTGACTCTTTCCGTGATCGTGGACAAGAACGAGAACGAGTTAGAGGTGATTTTGTCGGTGATCATGGACAAGAACGAGGTCAAGTTAGAGGTTACTCTTTCCGTGATCGTGGACAAGAACGAGAACAAAAGATAGGTGATTCTTTCCGTGATCGTGGACAAGAACAAGTTAGAGGTGACTCTTTCCGTGATCGTGGACAAGAACGAGAACGAGTTAGAGGTGATTTTGTCGGTGATCGTGGACAAGAACAAGAACAAGCCTTTCGTAAGGAACCTGTGAGCAATGAAGAAGGAGCCACCAAACAGATGCTTAGGGAGATGATTAGATTCACTGCAGAAAACAGTCTACCATCGCCAGATCTCGAGCCGTTCAATGGGGATCCACTTGATTACCTTACCTTTATAAGGAATTTTGAATATGTGGTTGAAAAGAGAACTGATGAACCTTTCAGAAGACTAGAGCTTCTACTAAAATACACACGAGGAGAAGCGCATGAGCTTATTCGAGAATGCCCCCACATACAACCAAGTAAGAGGGCATATGAGACAGCCAAGTCTATGCTACACAGAGACTATGGAAAGCAGAGTAACATAATAAATGCATACAAGGAAAGGGCAATTGCCTGGGAGCAGATACGATCAGGAGATAGGCAAGGATTGCGAAAATTCGCAATATACCTCAATAATTGCTCGCATGTTAGAGCAGCAGGGGACTTAGGAGGCATGGATAGTGCAAGTTTTCTGAGAGTTCTGGCAAGCAAACTACCCTTGTATCTCCAGCAGAAGTGGATATCACGAGTAGGCCTGACTCGTGATATTGCTAATAGGAATCCCACTCTGGAAGATCTTGCACAGTTCGTCATACAGACTGAAAGAAACATTAACGATCCCATGGTACAGGGATTGGGATATCAGAGGACTGAGAAAAATGCTTCCTACAATAAAGATGAGAAAGAAAAACTACAAAAATCAAGAAGCACAAAGGCATTTGGTACAGCTACACAACAGGATAGGGAGCAGAAGGACAAGAGGGAACCAAGTTGTACTTTCTGTGGCACCAACTCAAGGCATGTTATTGACGAGTGCCGAAAATTTGAAGCCTTGACAGTTGAAGAAAGATCAGAGCAATGTAAAAGGAAAGGCCTCTGCTTCCGATGCCTGAAACCAAAGCATCTGAAAAAGGAATGCAAAAGTAAGATCAAGTGTGATGTCTGCGACAGGATGCACAACACTCTAATGCATGATCCCAGGTGGATGAAAGACGGAGAAGGAAATACAAGGAAAACCACCAATGATGCTTCAACATCTACCGATGTGCAAAGTGAAGCTGGAAAGATCTCTTCAGGGTCTACCAATGTGAAGAAAAGTGTTGGAGGAAAACCCCAGACATCGACGTGCATGACGATAGTTCCAGTCATTGTGAAGCACAAAGGAAATGACAGATGCATATCAACTTATGCATTCATAGATAATGGATGTGGAACAGTCTTCTGTGACACAGAACTTACCCAAAGGCTGCATGCAAGAACCAGGAAAACCAAGCTAATAGTCAAGACATTGAATCTTGAAGAAGTGATAGATACAGAAGTCACTGTAGATGAGCTGCAGATCGCAGGAGTAAAGGAGAAGGAATTCATCAATCTTCCGCCCATCTATGTCAAAGATGGTATACCAGTGACAGTTTCAGATGCGCCAACTCAAAAGGATCTGAAACGATGGAAACATCTGAAGGACATAGAATTGCCCGAAATAAGTAACCGCAACTCTATTTCAAGGGTAACTCTCATGATTGGAGCCAACGTTCCGTCAGCATCGATGCCTCTAGAAATTAAAGCTGGTGACATCGAAGAACCATATGCTATCCGCTCAAGGCTAGGTTGGCTCGTGTATGGTATACAAGCTCAAGAGCAAGCAGATATTCACAAAGTCTGTTTTTGTAAACAGGAGGAAGTTTCCATCATTCCTAGACAAGAGGAATTAGAACGGAAATTCAAGGACTTCTGCAATATGGAATTTACAGAGAGACTAAGTGATCACAGAGAGGGCCTGTCAGTTGACGACAAGAATTTCTTGGACATAATGGAGAAATCTATCACTAAGAAAGACAATCATTATCAGATAGATCTGCCCTTAAAGCAGAGAGATGTGGCTATGCCTAACAACAAGGACCAAGCTGAAAGATTTCTGGAAAGACAAGGACAGAAGTTATCAAAGAACAAGGAAATCCATGAACAGTACACCACATTCATGAATGATCTGGAAAAGCAAGGCTATGCAGAGAAGGTTCCAGAAACAGACTTGGACAGACATGATGGGAAGGTATGGTATATCCCTCACCATGGGGTGTATCATCCCCAAAAGCCAGGAAAGATTAGAGTAGTCTTCAATTGTCCTATCAGCTACAAAGGAAAGTCTCTTAATCAGGAACTCCTACAAGGACCAGATCTAACCAACAGATTGCTTGGTGTTCTCCTCAGATGGAGGAAAGAGAAAGTGGCTGCAGCCAAGTCGTAACCTTCAGGTGGGGGACATTGTACTCGTCATAGACGAAACAGCGCACAGATGTTCCTGGTCCATGGCCCGAGTGCAAGAGGTTATGCCAGACAACAAGGGGTTCGTCCGCAGAGCGAAAGTGAAAACTGCAACAACATCGCTAGTAAGGCCAGTAACCAAGTTGTGTATTCTACTGGAGCAGGAAATTTGAATGGAGTTTGTCTCAAATTTATGAAAGGATCTACATGTATAATATGTGAAAGTGCCTTTAAGTGGATGTGCTTTGAATCATTATTGGAGGAGGATATCAAGCAAATGAAGCAATTTGTGTTTGGATCAAGCGAACAAGTGGAATTCAGAGCGCCAGTGAAATTTTGTGTTAAAGTGAAAAGTAAAATATTAATAGCCCTTTGGCTAGTAATTGGTAATCATTTGTGATAATGAGCCAATACAGGATCAAATCATGTTTAATCGCGAATTAATTGGATCAACACATCTTTAATCGCGAATTTGCATTGGATCAACACATGTTTAATCGTGAATTTGCATTGGATCAACACATGTTTAATTGCGAATTAATTGGATCAACACATGTTTAATCGCGAATTTGTATTGGATTAACATATGTTTTATCGCGAATTTGCATTGGATCAACATATGTCAAGTCGCGAATTTACACAGGATGATTTTGTCAACACGCGAATTGCAAGAGAGCAAAGTTTTACGCGATTTCAAGAGAGGACGCTTCCATGAAAGAATGTCAATTTAAGACATTTAATTTTGATAAGTCAGCACCGAATATTGTTTAGTCTTTGCAAGAACGATAAAGGATATGAACATGAACTGGAACGAACTAGTGAACTTTCAAACTGTTTAAGTTGAACTCTGTGAAGTGCTATTCATGACTGAAATGTTTGTTTTGAAATTTGATGTTTTATACTCATACATGTACATGTATATATGTAAGTTTGTTGAGTTTCAATATTTCTTTGTGTTATCACAATTGGGATGTCTAAATTGAGGATGATTGAACATACATGTACACAAATAATTAAAAGAGAATATTTTGTTAAAAATTTGTTCAAAGTAATGATTGAATTAGCCTCAGAGTTAAAATCAGATACATTTTGTTAATATAAAACATACCAGAAAGAGAGAACTCAAATAGGGTTAAAGGGAGAAAGTGTTTTGAAAACAGTGTATTTGTTGACATAGAAAGTTAGAAATTTCATTTCATTAGATGTTCAGAACATTAACATGAATGAAAAGATTTAAATATATGTGTCTGCACTCTGCAGTGTGAGTATTATAAGGAAGTTCAGATTGTGTTATATTTAAATTGAGGATTAACATGTTTAAGTGAAGTAAGGAATGTTATTTAGTTCTATGTGCAAATGGCAAGGATATTTGCATGTGCTTAGTAGTCAATCCACAATGTGACTTCAGTCATGCAGGTAAACTTCGGACAGATTGATATATGCAAATAGAAAGAACAAGGTTAATGTTCAAGCGGAAGTACAAGTATTACATGTATGAAGATGGTATTATGCACAATGCTAAATATTTCCTTTTCTCTATTGTTTGAAAGTACATGTGCATCTACGTTATTTCGATGTTCCTTTATGTTGATGTACATGTACATCAGTTCAGTTCAATTGAAGGTGTTCAGAAATTGTTTTATGTTTAAGTAAAAACAAAAGGAAAAATGTTAAAGGTAGTAAATACAGCCACTAATTATTCTTGTTTTGGAAGAACAATTCTTGTGTTTGGATTTCATATTACTGGTTTATTTCCAGAGTTATTTTTTGAAAGGCAATTATAACGAAAATGGTGTTTTTGATAATTTAATTACCATAGGTATTACATTTTGACAAAAGTTTGACAAAAGTTTGACAGCTATGAGTAAACATTGAAAATATTTTGATTTAAAGTTATCATTGATTCATGATTATTTTGTATTGGATGCTTTTGTTGAGTTGATACAGGAATGTTTATAGTAAATCCAGGGATAAAGCTCGATTTTGCAGAATTTAGTGTATTCTGTGCATTTAGATAGTAAAAATTGGCAGAGTATAGAGATATAAGTGTTACATCTCATTGTGATTATGATTTGTTTTGGAAACAGTTAGGTATTATATAAATAGAAAGTGTTTGAATTTAATGTAGAAACTAGGTTATGAGACAATATACAGAAAATGGTTGTAAACATTTGATAATATATGTAGATAACAGTTGGTATTTTGTTAATTTACATCAGTGCTGGACACTTAAGTTTTGGTTAAATAGATGTTAATCGTTGCATCCTCTAGCTGCAACTGGGGGGAGGAATGTAAGGATCAAGATATAAGAAGCCAAATTTAGTTTTTGTTTTGAGGATACCGTAGATTGACTGGAATTGTTGTACAAACGTAGCTAGGCTTGTCACATGGAAGCTACAGATATGATATGATGTGGGCACGGATTCAAGGAAGGAAAACTTTGTTTTACCTACTAAACTACTACTATTATTGCTACTTTGTACATTCCGGTGTATGGAAATGATTGGAGTTCAGTTGAGTGTTAATAAACAAAGAACCATGAAATTACCACATTGTCTCAAGGATCATATGTAGATATCTCTACACTCTCTCTCTCTCTCTTTCTCTCTCTCCCATGCTCCTCCTTTTCCTGTTTACACCGTTTTCTTGTCTTCTTTGCTCTTTTCTTTCTTCTCATGCTATTAGTCTTCTTTCATTTCCATCACTTCTTCTCTGCTCCCCCTCTCGAGTTCTATTTCTCTCGTGAAATTGAAACGTAAAGTAATACAATCATGTAGTACATTCTTGTTTAGAATAATATTTTCAATAATATCCAGTCCATTTTCTAAAGGTTTCTTTCCTTTAGTTAAGTGTATGTAGCTTTAATATATATATGTTAGTGTGCAAAACACTCCGTTTCATTCGAGTACTTTGTTTTCACTAAATAATTTAAGGGACTCACGAAGCCACCGGAAGAAGAGCAATTGGCTAATCATGAAGAACTAACATCAAACTGCAACAAAATGATTTGTATAAATGTGAATAAGCAGAAAGGCTGCCATCTCATTTTCCCGTCTGAATGGGTTCTCTTCCTTACGTATATAAGTGCCCTTATTTTCTAAACTTTTTAATTTTTTTATTTGTGTGTTTATTAAATTTTCAATCATATAAAAATTACATATTTACAAGTCATTGGTAATAATTAGACAAACAAAAAAACCAATATGTATAAGAACAACTAACAATAATGAAAGGACAAGAAAGTTATAAAAAAAAAAACATTATAGTAAAAAAAAAAAATACACTGTACACATATAAATCATAGTTTGAACTCCAGTGCATAAAGGGGAGTGAGGGGGCACAGGAATAAAAGTTAAATCAACATGAGTATCATAAGTCAAATCGCCATTTCTTAAAATGCGAAACAAGCTTGTTCCTTTTTTTCGCTGAGAAATATTCAATATCTTTTTGTTTCTTTATAAAACTCTTAAAAAGATCAACACTTGGTAAATCCCCCTTACTTATTTTCTAAACTTCCATGATGACCTATTACATTGTATAATGCTTTACCTAGTAAGATGCATTGATCGAGGTAATTTCAGGTATTTACGGAAGCGTTAAAGTGCCATTCTACTTGACGACATGACGAGATATTTCATCTTGTCAAGTCGACTTAATATCCATATCATGTCGACATGTAAAGATATTTAACCTACCATGTCGACTTATCAACTTTTATTAGTCGACATGGCGAAATAAATTATCTTGCCAAGTCGACTTCACAAAAAGTTCATGTCGTCATGGCGACATAAGTTATCTTACCAAGTCGACTTCTAAAAAAATACATGTCGTCATGGCAACATGTATTATCTCACCAAGTCGACTTCCCAAAAAGTATATATGTCGTTAATATGGCGAGATATGTGTTATTTCATGCAGCGCGCGTATATGGCAAGCCCTTTGTGTAAAAACCAGATAAACTCTGTTTTTCTCAGATAAAGTCAGTTTATCAAAAAAACTGTGTTTATCAATGATAAACTCAGTTTATCAACAGATAAACAGAATTTATCAGATAAACAGAGTTTATCAGTTGATAAACTGAGTTTATAAACTGACGTACATGATTATCATACAAGAAAGAGTAGGTAGTATTGGAAATTCGTTTTATTACAATGCCATAAAACATTGGAATTCCCTTCCCAATGGTGTAAAAGAAATAGGAAACTATGATCATTTTAAGAGGAAATTAAAGGAATACCTAATACTTGACAGTCAGAGAAGAGAAGTGAATGACATGTTATATGATTGAAATTATTATTCTTCTGTCGGTTCATACTTTTTCATGTTGTATATACTTATGTTTTCGTACGTTATAGAAATTCTACAAATTCATCATTATTTTCCTCTTCTTCCTTCTCCTCTTTTTCTTCTTCATCTCCTTCTTCTTTTTCTTCTTGTACTTAATATCATTTCTATCATCAGTTTAATGTTGTTATTATTATTATTATTATCTTTAATAAGTAGTTCTTTTAATTTTCTTATCTGTCTGTAAATATTACTATTTTAACTTATTAATTTTATACATGTCTGTAAGGGACCCCACTGGAAATAAGCTCTCGAGCTTTCGTGGGTTATCCTGTTCAAGCTGACTTATGTTTGATCTGTTACTATTGTATATTGTTGTATGTTGGAAGCTTGTCGAATAAAAATCAATCAATCAATCATCAGAAAAACTCAGTTAATCATTGATGAACTTAGTTTTTCTTGATAAACTGAGTTGTTCTGATAAACTGTGTTTATCTGTTGATAAACTGAGTTTATCTGAGAAAAACAGAGTTTATCTGTTTTTTTACACAAAGGGCTTGCCATATACGCGAGCTGCATGAAATAGTCGTCACACTACATATCTCGCCATGACGACATATTCTTTTTGGGAAGTCGACTTGGTGAGATAATTTATGTCGCTATTACGAGATGAACTTTTTTGTGAAGTCGACTTGGCAA